CGCCTTCAATCTTTCCCAGCATCAGGGTCTTTTCCAGTGAGTCAGTTCTTTGCATCATATGGCCAAAATATTGGAGTTTCAGCTTCAGCATCAGTCCTTCCAATGAATATTCAGGACTGATTTCCTTTAGGATAGACTGGTTGGATCTCCTTGCTGTCCAAGAGACTTTCGAGAGTCTTCTCCAACACCACAGTTCAAAAGCATCAATTTTTTGGTGCTCAGCTTTCTTTTTTTTTTTTCTTTTTAAAATTAATTTATTTAAAAAATATGGAACGCTTCACGAATTTGCGTGTCATCCTTGTGCAGGGGCCATGCTAATCTTCTCTGTATCGTTCCAATTTTAGTATATGTGCTGCCGAAGCGAGCACGGTGCTCAGCTTTCTTTACAGTCCAACTCTCACATCCATACATGACTACTGGAAAAACCATAGCTTTGACTAGTCGGACCTTTGTTAGCAAAGTAATGTCTCTGCTTTTCAATATGCTGTCTAGGTTGGTCATAACTTTTCTTCCAAGGAGCAAGTGTCTTTTAATTTCATGGCTGCAGTCACCATCTGCAGTGATTTTGGAGCCCCCCCAAAATAAAATCTGTCACTGTTTCCATTGTTTCCCCATCTATTTGCCATGAAGTGATGGGACCAGATGCCATGATCTTAGTTTTCTGAATGTTGAGTTTTAAGCCAACTTTTTCACTCTCCTCTTTCACTTTCATCAAGAGATTCTTCAGTTCTTATTCTCTTTCTGCCATAAGGGTGGTGTCATCTGCATATCTGAGGTTATTGATATTTCTCTTGGCAATCTTAATTCCAGCTTGTGTTTCATCCACCCTGGCATTTCTCATGATGTACTTTGAATATAAGCTAAATAAGCAGGGTGACAATACACAGTCTTGACGTACTCCTTCCCCAATTTGGAACCAGTCTGTTGTTCCATGTCCAGTTCTAAATGTTGCTTCCTGACATGCATACAGATTTCTCAGGAGACAGGTCAGGTGGTCTGGTATTCCCATCTCGTGAAGAATTTTCCAGTTTGTTGTGATCCACACGGTCAAAGGCTTTGGCATAGTCAAGAAAACAGAAGTAGATGTTTCTCTGGAACTCTCTTGCTTTTTTGATGAGCTAACAGATGTTGTCAATTTGTTCTCTGGTTCCTCTGCCTTTTCTAAATCCAGCTTGAACATCTGGAAGTTCACGGTTCATGTACTGTTGAAGCCTGGCTTGGAGAATTTTGAGCATTACTTTGCTAGTGTGTGAGATGAGTGCAATTGTGTGGTAGTTTGAGTATCCTTTGATGTTGCCTTTCTTTGGGATTGGAATGAAAACAGATCTTTTCCAGTCCTGTGGCCACTGCTGAGTTTTCCAAATTTGCTGGCATGCTGAGTGCAGCACTTTCACAGCATCATCTTTTAGGATTTGAAATAGCTCAACTGGAATTCCATCACCTACACCAGCTTTGTTTGTAGTGATGCTTCCTAAGGCCCTCTTGACGTTGCATTCCAGGATATCTGGCTCTAGGTGAGTGGTCACACCATTGTGGTTACGTGGGTCATGAAGATTTTTTTTGTATAGTTCTTCTGTGTATTCTTCCCACCCTTTCTTAATATCTTCTGCTTCTGTTAGGTCCATCTGTCCTTTTTTGTGCCCATCTTGAATGAAATGTTCCCTTGGTATCTCTAATTTTCTTGAAGAGATCTCTAGTTTTTCCCATTCTATTGTTTTCCTCTATTTGTTTGCATTGATCACTGAGGAAGGCTTTCTTATCTCTCCTTGCTATTCTTTGGAACTCTGCATTCAAATGGGTATATCTTTCCTTTTCTCCTTTACCTTTAGTTTCTCTACTTTTCTCAGCTATTTGTAAGGCCTCCTCGGACAACCATTTTGCTTTTTTGCATTTATTTTTCTTGGGGATGATCTTAATCACTGTACAGTGTCATGAACCTCTGACCGTAGTTCTTCAGGCATTCTGTCTATCAGATCTAATCCCTTGAATCTATTTGTCACTTCCACTGTGTAATCGTAAGGTAGAGAGGTAGAGAGCTGGTAGAGAGGTGGAAAGAATGTATGAGAGGTGAAGCCATGTTTGATCCCAAGTTAAGTGCTACAGAACTGCTTGATTAACTAAAGAAATAGAAAGGATGAAATATTGAAGTGTACAGTGAAAAGTTTAAAAGCCTGAGTGGTGCGAGGAAAATAAAAAAGGAAATCTACTTAATGAAATCTAAGACTGAACTGTAGCTGGTGTGTATCTGGCCAGTCTCAAAACTTTATGATCAGAAAAAAAAAACAAAAAAAAACCCTTTATAACAGGTCCTGAGTCTAGCAACATTTCACCACCCCAGGCTTGGGGAAGTCTCTTCTTAAATATAAGGAGGGAGTTGGACAGATGGTCTCTGGGGGCCCATTCAGCTGCCAGTCTGGAAAGTGAGTCTCTCCTCGGTGGCTGAGATACACCTCAGAGTCTTCAGGAATAAAGAAGTTAGCAGATGACCTGGGGGCCGATTTCAGAACACAAAAATGTATACTTTTAGCAATGAACTGAATTGAAATACTGTGTGCTGTGGTTCATGAAAGTGATGGAATTGTGGTTCTAAAGACAATTTAAGGGTATATAGAAATGCTTATTCTGTGTTAAGAGAGAAAAGCAATTTGCATACTTTAATTTGTGTATGTGTGTTTCAGAGAATTAAATTATAAGGGCTCTCTTTCAGGGATAGAATTATGAGCAGTCTTCAGTTTGGCTTCTTGAAAAGTTTCTATACAAAAATGAACAAATTTTGCTCCTGAAACAGGGAAAAGACTACAAAAATGTTATTTTCACTTTTTTTCGCAAGGGGTGGAGAAAGACCTCAGTTATAAAGATTTGGATTAATCATACTCTTTAGGGACATTCTCATTGGTTTAGAAAGGAACTTGAAAAAGAAATCCTGGCTACTACTTCCACTAGAGGACGCTCTTCTGAAATTTTAGGTTGCTGAAGATTTTGGAAGGGAGGTTTCAAGGTTTCATTTCAAACCCAGTTGGAGGACTCCAGCTTCTTTATTTGTTTGCTTGTCTTTAAATACATTTTTTAATTTGGGAATAATTTTAGATTTACAGAAAAGTTAAAAAGGTAGAGCAGAGAGTTCTTGTTTACCTTCACTCAATTCCCCCTAAGATTAACACATTGCACCACCATGCTGCATGTGTCAGAACTGAGAAATTAACATTATTCCAGCAGTACATTACTGTTAACTAAAGTACAGACTTTAGTTGAATTACACCAGCTTCTCCATTAAAATTCTTATTCTGTTCCAGAATATAATCCAGTATATCACACTGAATTTAGTAAATTTTTTAGAACAAACAACAAAACTCACTGTGGTAATCACACATCACCAATTATATTTTACATAAACATCTGTATTTTCTTAGAAAGACAAAGGTTACCATTCTTTCTTTCACCTCTTGTTTTATTGCCATTACGTTTGCAGAAGTTATGTAACTTTTTCAATCCCTATGTTGTCATCAACATTTCCATCTTTTGCAGTGTATGGGGAACCATCATTTTTAGTAATTTTGTATCTTCTCCAATTAATCTTTTGTTTTTCAGTTTATGTTCCCTCCAGCAGGATGTCATTAAAAAAGAATGCTGTGGAATTATAACAATTTTGTTAGGTATAATAATGGCATTGTGCTTAGGATTTTTTTAAAGTCCTGATCTATAAGATACATACTGAAGTATTTACAGATGACATTATTTACTTTAAAATACTTCAGCAAATGAAAACTTGGGGGAGCTAGAACAAATGAAGGAGGATGTGTCCATGGGTGTTACTGTTTTACTTTTGTGTATGATTGAAAATCTTATAATTAAAAAGTTGTTCAAAAGAAAAAGGCGTGGTACAGCTGAAGTCAGTGGTGACTCAAGTTTTTGAAGTACATTCTGTCCTCCTGCAAAAAGGGGGAAGGACTTCATGGGGCAGGGGCGGGGATGGGAAGGTGGGGGAAGAGGGAGGAACTGGGGAGAAGACTGTCAGGCTTCATTTCTGTCTCGCCCACCCCCCCATATGCTGCCCTCTCTCCTGCTGGGGCCACCACATCCTGCCCAGTGAGGGGTAGGGAGCCTGTGTGGGGGCACTGACCAAGAACCCAGCCTTGGTGCCCCTTCTCTGCCCTCCTCAGAGTCAAGGTGGGGTCTCTGCCCTTTGCCCCGGGCCTTCCAGGTACCCTGGGTGTGAGCTTGGGGCAGAGCTCCACCAGCACAGTCTGGGACACCTCTCTGCCTGCTCCACCCCTTCCTCCAGCCCTGGCCCGGAGTGGAACTCCACCCCACCTCCTCGCCCCCTCCAACACACACATATATGGCAGAGCCCCATCTCTGGGCTAGCAGTTATCAGCAGACAAATAGAGGGGTTCAATAAAGTTTTTATAAACTTAATTCAGATAACACAGCTACACACACACACACACGTCCCGGGCACTGCAGGAGGTGCCGGAGGAATGAGAGCAGATGGCAATGTTACCCTTTAAGAACCTGAAGCAGATATATTTGAGGCTTGGGGTGGAACCAACTGTACAGTAAAGGCTGATTAAAAATGAATCTTGGGTGGTAGCAAATACCCCGTAGTTTCAAGGTGAAGATTTTATTTGCATCTCTTTCTTAGTTTTATGGTTTCGAGTTGATTCATCTCAGCCATGTGGTTAATCAATGGAATTTTCATTGGTATGTCTAATAATAATAAGTCCTAATAATAGTAATTAAAAAATCTGTATAGATGATAATCTTTTTCAAGCCCTTCATAATTATCACAATTATCCTAGTGACCATTTAACTAAATTGGAGCCACTTGTAGCTGCTGCCTTCTTGCTTGCTGAAGTCAGCTGCTCCTTTGCCTCCAGCCCAGTGGAGGGCCAGGCTCCTGGCTCATGGAGCTGACGGGCTGGCGCTGATCTCTGCTCTGCTCAGGGATGGTGGCAAACTCTATTCAACACTTTTTTTCTTTATCTCTTTTTATTCTGCAGCAGAAGTATTGGGAAGCCCTAATCTCGGAGCAGGTATGGACAATTGTGCTCTCTCTTTATTCCAGAAGGGACTTCCTGTGGCTTGATTTCAGTTCCTGTTTTTGTGAGCCCCTTTTAGATGGCTGGGCCCATGCCAAATTCCTCTAGGGGAAAAAAAAATCTGAAAATAAGAGGAGAGTCTGAAAGTTGAGGTTCTTTCCAGGCTGTCTCAGTTCAGAGTTCTTTCTGCTTTGTCTGAACCATCTAGTGGGGACTCAGAGAAGATGCATGACCCAAGGAAGAAATGTGCTTGGAACAAGTCTCTGAACAGGAGGAAGCCCGGCAGCTCCCTAATGGTAATGGTGCTGGCAGTCACTGCGAGAGCAGAGATGAACATTCCCGCCTGTTGTCACTTGGAGACCTTGGGCAGCTGGCTCCTGTCTCCCTGCCATCCTCTCCTCCAAGCGGCAAATGAGCACATGATTCATGACAGCCACCTGTGCCTGTCACCTCCCAGGATGTTTTTTGTTTTTATGATAAGAGAGTAGATTATCTTTTGCTCAATTCTCTGAATGCCTGGATTCCAGCGATGTTTTTGTTACTTAAAAAGACATTTAAAAACACATTATTCTGGGAATTCAGAAGGAAGAGATTTAAAATGTTTTTGAAGGTTTCAGCCCAGTTTAAAGAGTGCACCTCATCAGAGTTTCTGTTTCCCGGCAGCTGAACTGGTCAGGAGTAGCAAGGACTCTTAAGAAGACATTTTAGGAGCTGGAGCAGTGGTTCTGATACATCAGGGTGGCTAAGAATCACCCTAGGAGCTTGTTCAAATGCCAAGTCTTAGATCCCAAACTACAAATGGGGTCAAGGGAGCCTTTTGGATAAGCACCCTGGGCCCTCCTGGTGAGGCCGGTCCAAAACCAGATCTAGTACGTGGGTCTCCGCTTGAAAATAGAACTCACCCAGGAGCACACCGTCCATTCTCAGAGAATGGACCAGGCCCCTGCTTCCGCTGCTTGGCAACTGGGTCTTGGAGGCCGAGGGGCCAGGGAGCTCTTTTACTTGGCATCTCTGATAACATCTGGAAGGGATTTGCTTAGAGGTATGCCCCCAAGTCTGCAACCACAGGTAGATGAGCAACCGGCAGGGCCTCACACAGCCCCAGACACCAACAGATCAGCTCGGGCCCTCACCAGCAAGGTGACTGGGAGGTGAGGTGGTCATTTTAACGCGATGCTGTTTCTCCTGACCAAGTAGTAGAATCAATTCAGTTATTATCAGTAAATCACGAATTAAACTGGACTCTTCCTATTCAGAGCTACAGTTTGTGTTTTATAACTGGCAGGCTGCAGGCACTGTCTGTCAAGTGACTCAGGGAGCCTTGAGGACCTTGTCCTGACCTTCTAAGGACTGGATTGTTTGATTCATGTTTGAGCCGCTGGAGGAGCATTTTTCTTGAGTGCACATCGATGCCTGGCTCTATTTTCTTGCCCAAATAGATTGTCTGGCCTGGGCTGACACATCCTATGTGGCCTTTGCTTGTTGTTTCTTGGGTCTTTTGATACCTTCAAATGCAACCTTGTGACTCAGAATCACCAGTCATAGAAACTCAGAAATGAGAGCTCATATTATCTAGTTCCTGATTCAGACCCCCAGTGCACACATGGAGAAATTAAGACCCACAGAAGTGAATTGAGCCTGACCCCCACATACCTCTGTGGCTGGAATCACTAAGGATTCCCTTGCTTTTGGCCCCATACAGAGCTTTCTCTCTTATCCATCCTATTAGAGCAATAGGAAGACTTTGCATACAGCTTTATCAGTACTTGTGTGCTCACCTATTTTTTTTTTAACCTTTTACTCCTACTCCTGCAAATTTCGGTTTCCCATACTTCTCTGAGTCAGAGTGATGAAATATTCACTGGCAGTGACCACCACTCTGGATTAGGTTTTAAGTGTTTGTTTTTGACGAGTTGGCTGACCTCAAGTTCAGAAGAAGCACCATATGGGGTGCGGGGGGCAAGGGTAGACTAGTGCCCTACTCGTAAGGGGCTCTGTTATCTACCTGAGGACAAAGTAGATACTCAGGCAAAGGGCAGGACTTCCCATGATCAGCTGCAAACCAGTGATACAAGCAGTACAGAGAAGAGGGTAAGAGCTCAGTGGGTGTCAGGGTAGGCTTCTTGGAAGAGAAGGAACTTACCTGGGCCATAAAGAATAGGTTGAGTTTTCCTGGTCTTTTCTAGGAATAAGTCTGGCATAGAGATGGAAATTCTCAGGATAAAGGGAACATGCCTCAGGCTCACTAGAGAAGGACTTGGTGAAGACAGGGGGAACAGAGAATGGGAGGGGAAGTAGGACTGATCTATTCAGGGTAGCTGTCTGTTAATTCCTTGATTTAAAGTTATACTTGCCCTGTTAGGTCCTAGAATCACAGGCCTGGTTAACCTGTCCTTATCTGTTTATTCTTATCTGTGCCTGGGCCTTGAGAACCAGGACTGGAGCTGTCGGGGGAACCGTAAGAGATAGGACGGGTCTAGTCCACCAAGGTACCTCTTGTGTCTTCTTTCCACAGTGGGATCCTGAGGATGTAAACCTTGGAGGGAACAAAGACAGCACGAGACACGCAGATCACAGGCACACAGGTGGTGAAGCCAGCGGACTTGCCCTCTGATGAATAACACTTTCTGGAGCCAACTCAGCAGCCCAGAGACCAAGGTCAAGCATTTGTCAGGAACTGAGCAGGGATCAACCTGCAGGGACAGGCATGGTAGGAATTAAGCTTCTGCCAAGGCTGCCCATGAAAGTGAGGAACCAGGTGCTGTCATGGAGCTTGGCTGGTCTGCACTACGGCTCAGAATGGAACTAAGACTTTGGGCCCACTGGACAGACTTGAATATGCCCAAAGTTTGTTCTAAGGATCTGCCGTTTGTCACAAACCACTCGTGCTTTGACATATAATCTAAAGGACTTTGGGCCCTCTTTTCCTTTTCCCTTTGGAGTCAACCATACTCTGAATATCTGCTGTGAATGAGTTCATCTAACAAGCAGCTAATATGTTTGGATCTCAGTAAAGCCCCATTCTGCAAGACCTGGCTAAGCCTAGCAAGCAGTGGGCCCACATTCTGGGTGTCTAGGACACAATGACAAGTTCTGATGGGACCTGGCTACTGCCCTCCAGTAACCCACTAGAGTTTCCTGACGAAAGTTGAGAGAGGACTGTTTGATCAACCAAGTGTTTATAAGATCACTGGTATTGCAAAGGCAAGCAAAGCGAATTGCTCTAGATATGAGAACTTGCTCCAATCTGGCAAAGTGTATGCTGGAGCAGGGTCTCAGGTGAATGGGACTGTCTGCCTTAGAAGGTAGCTGAAAGCATGCAAAGGGTAAGAGGCATGGCCAGAAGTGTTAAATTCAAGCACCAAAATCCTCTTGCAGGTTTATTTTGGATCTAAGGTGGGAGGAACACTGGAATGAATAAATCCTGATTGAGAGAACTACAGTATTTCACCATGGAGCTCAGGGATACATCTGAATCCCAGAACAGCCTTCAAAGTCGGCCACGAGGGGATCTGGGAGAAATGCCAAGAAACACAGCTCTGCTCTTGGCTGGCCCCTGGCAGCCTGTGTGATTCAACAGCAGCTGCCCAGTTGCTCCGAAGGGGTAGTGCAAGTCCCACCAGCATGAAAGAGGGGGTGCCTAAGGGAAGCAGTTTGGTTCCACAGGTCTCTGCATAGATTCTAATCAATTCCCTGGGTGACCTGTGAACTAGAAGTGAACCTAAAGCTACCCTATTTATCCAGTTGCTTTGGACCCTGGTTGTCTTTTTTTTTTTTCTTTCTTCCTGGTTGTCTTGTAATGGAGTTTGCTAAAGTTGGTTTTGCTTTGTGATCTTAATCACTGAAGCTGTACTTTGATGGAAGATGAAACTTTGAGTTGGGGGCAGGGGTAGGGAGTTAGGAGAACATTCCAGAAGATGAAACCACACAGAGAATTGGAAGCAGGGAAGGGGGGAATCTAGCCAAGGAAAGAAGACTCTGATGTAGCCAGAATGGGAGTAGAGAGAGGGTGAAGAGGCTGGAGAGGAACTGGGAGTTGGCACTTAATTCTATAGCTGACTGGTAGCTACTGGAAGATAGAGTAGGAAGCTGACTGGCATGCCTCAGATCAGCCACAGCTGATTGGTCAGTTTTACATCCCTACAGCCACAACTTTTCAGGAAGCAGAAAGGTACAGTCATGGATACAGTATGAACTTGGGGAGTGTGTTTAATCTGATTGATGACAGCAGGGAAGAAAAAGTTTTTATCTTTGGAAAGGTAAAAGGCATGGGAATAGGATGACATCCTTGGAGTTTGCCTTTAGCAAGTCCCCTCCCCCCAAGGGGAGACTGGCTTATGCTCCCAGAAGTTGGTTGGATCCTGATGGGAATGTCCATTCATTCAAGAACATCAAGTGATCTTGCCAGCTTTGACCAGCACAAATTACTTGAGCTCTAGATGTTGACCATCTCTTTAGATCCCATTGTCCCAGCCTCTTCCTTCACAAACTATTTCTTATTATCATTGTCCGAGCTTGTCTCAAAACAGCCTCCCAAGTCTCTTCATCCAGAGTGAACCTTTAAACTGAGAATTCTGGAAGCAAAGTTTGGCCTCATTGTTTAATGAGAACCTGCCTGTTATTGAAGTTCTGTAACTCTGGAGCCTTTGCGAAGAAGTGCCAGCCAAAATGCCTTCCTCCTAGTAAGAGGATTCTTGCCCTGGGCCTCTGTTGCACCTCCATCCCTAACTGTCAGTCAGAACAGGATGATAATGGGAGTTAATTGCCCTGAAGACTCACAGAGCAGTGCAAAAAGGTTACCTACACTAGGGAGAAGCTGGGAACCAATTGTGTAACCCTCCTCTCCCACCCATTCATCTGAACACAAGAGATGGTATAATAGTAGTTGTGCTGCCTATTATCTGCATGACTTGGAGCTTGTTACTTAAACTTGGTGAACTCTTGGGGTAGACTGAGAATAATAGATATCTAGAAAGCATGTTGTGAAGAGTAAGTAATAGGTATGGAATGCATAACACTACTAACACTCATGACTCAAAGTAGACATTGAAGAAGGATTCGTTTCCTTCTTCCCTATAATTCCTGGCCACATATGTCCGAAAAGCCAGTTGGTAACCAAAGAATCACACTGTCAGATGGAAGAAACTTCAGAAGAGTGAAGAGCCTGACAACAACCCCAATAAGTGATTGAGTGGTTATCCGGTCCCTGCTTAAGCTACTCAAAAAACAACAACAACAAAATTTCACCCATTTTAATCTCCCCAAAAAAGAAATCTTTCTTTGGGATTTAGGGGGAACTGTATCAGTAAAATTTTCTTAAAATCTGTCTAGACCCTGAAGAACCAATCCCCTTATCTCCCCCAGTACTTCAGTATGATGAAGAGATGTATGAACAATCTCCTAATGCCACACTCACATGTGATTGTTACAATGGGGTATGAGCTCCCCCAGAGCCGGGAGAGGCAAGAAGCATGGCTGGGCTCCAGTTCCTAGGTCTGCTTCAGTGAGATCCTTGTCAAGTCATTTCCTTTTCTGGTCACAATTTCCTCATCTGTAAAATGAAAGGGCAAATTTCTGTCCTTTTTTCCCTTTTATGAATATGCCAGTGAATTCTTTCCTACAGAAGACTGACATGTTCATAAACTCTTAACAAGAGAAATTTTAGATACACTTTAAAAATAGGTTTCATTATATCATATGTACTTCTCTCTGTTTGGATTTTACTATCCGTTTAAGATAAAATCCCCCTTTTATAAAGAGTCCAAGTTTTGCTGTAACAAGAGATCACAGTATATGACATTAAAAATGTCTGCAGTTTCCTTCCAGTACTGAAAAGTCTTAAATATGATATATGAATAATATTTTCCACAGTGACAGAAAAAGAACTCATCAATCATTAAGAAAAAGAAAGGCTTTTCTTATGTGATTGCAGCAGAGCTAAGTCCCTATCCTGCGTCAAGGGCGCTCGCCCCCTTCTCACCCTCCACACTGCCTTAGTGGGGCAGTAAGTGGCTTCCACAAGTTGTGACCGGGAGGGAGGCCTCTAGTGGCACCATGAGAAGTGAATCCCAGCTCCTACTTGCTACCTTTCCCTCTGGGATTCTGCCAGACCCCAGCAGCCTGAGATCCATTCAAACCACCGCCCGCCAACTTCCGGGAAGAGAGGACCTGTGCGCCTCGGCGCGTGCGCACTGTGCAGCCACCGCCTCACGCGAGTCGCGAATCCTGCATGTGCCGGTCCCGCAGTCCCCGCTGTGTGCGGCTTCCTACCTCACCGCCACCGCGCCCGGGCCTTGGGGGAACTGCAGAGGACAGCTCCTGGGGTACATTTCACACCAATTGTTTTGTAAGGGGATTATCGCGAGATTACCCTTCTCAAAGTATTTGAGATCGTTCAGCATCCTTTAGGGTGTACTGCAGAGCAGATTCTGTTTTTAAATATATTTAAGATACGGTGTTTTTTTTTTTTTTAGTAGTACGGCTTTTAAAAAAAAGAATCAGATTGTAACAAAAAGCTTGTAAAGGAAAACATCGTGCCCTGCTCCTCCCTTCTGCCCACAATGGTCCACCCACCCACTCTCTTTTTTTTTTTTAAAGACTCCTTTGTTCTAGCAGTTTTCTCCTTTGGGTTTGATTTCAAACGTGCTTTCCAGCCGTAAGCTTCCAAGATTATACTGTTTTTGTTTTGTTTTTCTTGGCTAGAATATCTCCAACTTCCATTAAGTACAAGCTAATGAGACACCACGGGGTGTTGAGAACTGTTTGTCAAAACTCTCTTTACATCCTGCTTGTACTGTGGAATCCTTCGTCCCAGGGCCCTTTCCTCTTGCTGTTTTTCTTGATCTAGCTTCCAGCTTCTAAGTCCTGCCTGCAACAGGTCGCATCTGCTCTCAGAGCAGCCTAGCTAGTCCCGCCTGGGCTCTGGACTTAACCTTGACCTTCATCCTTTTATCTCTCCTGCAGGTGTCCTAGTACTTGGAGCATCTCCAATGCAAGTCTCAGATTTTCTAAACCCACAACCGGAGAAAGGGCTTTCCTGCAGTGCAGCTGCCACTGTCTTTCCCAAGGACAGCCTGATCTCGTGTGAGAAGTGCTATCCCATAGGCCTTTCTTTCTGATCAGCAAGTGCACTGTGGAATATGTATGTCCTAAAGCTCTGGTGTGTGTGATATCTGTTCAAATAATAGGCTCTTAGGCTCCACCCCAGTGATTTCCTAGATCTGGGCAGGGCCTGGGAATCTTTGGGGGTTTGTTTTTTGTTCATTTGTTTTTGTTTGTTTTTTGCAGCACTGAGTTATGCAGGATCTTAGTTCCGCCAGACATGGAGCCCCCTGCTTGGAAGTGCAGAGTCTTAACCACTGGACCACCAGGGAAGTCCCAGCGTCTGGGAATCTTTAACAAGCTCCTCAAGTGATCCTTTGAGAACATTGCCCTATGGAAATTACTTTTAAAGCCTTTCTGTTTGTGTGAGATGTTTTCATAAATGTATTTAGAACAGGCACAAAAGTGATAAAGCCTCAAAACCCCACTTGTTTGGAAAGATTAAACATTATACTTTCATGAACAAATGCTATTTGGGTATTAGACCTAGAAGACCACAGAGGAACAGATCTG